TGGGGGGGGGGCTTCTCAATATTTTATCCAGTATTCGCATAGCTAGCTAGTCTTTCTTGAGTGCAAGACAAATACCTAAGAAGCAATCAAACTTTTGTTCTTCTAGTTCACCATCAACGAATCCACCATTACTGACTCACCAAGGTTTCCTCATCGAGGAATTTTAATAGACACATCCAGACACTATCTGCCAGTTAAGACGATTCTTAAAACTCTGGTAGGTATTGTATTTAACAGAATCCACTGTGCGCTCTGAAAATGTGTCCTCTGTATGCTGCGACTCTTGACGATTGGGCAGGGTATTCGGTTCCCATGTGTTGAACAAGAGGTGGGCCTCCCTGCCCCTCTCCCTGCCTCCTGGGGTGATTGGGTGGGGAGTGTATTTTCTTAGCCTGGAGAGGTTCTCCTTAAGGGAGAATCTGTGCAGCACACATTCAGGCATGATTGTTACAGGAGTGTTTCTGTTGTGAAAGGAAGTTCTGATGGCTGTTCAAAGCTCCCAGCTGCCCTGAAAGACCACATGCTGCAGTCCGCTTCTGATCTGGAAACCCTGTGGCATTTCGGTCCTGTAGGGCCGCCATGACCTGGAGGCGAATGGACAGTGGGGGTGTTCTGCTGTGTCGGTTCTGACGCGGGTGGCCCTGTAGGACAGCAGAGCTGTCCCGTGGCAGTTCTCCTGGGCTGAGACTTTCCAGGACCATGAGGTCTCTTCTCCTGCAGGGCTGCTGGTCAGTCCACCCACTCACTAGCTGTTCAGTTTGCAGCCCGGTGCTTAGCATTGCACGCTGGGCAGACCTTGGTCACATCAGGCATTTGGTTTTTGGTTAGGACTACTCACCAACTGTATGCCTACATGATACTGTCCTTGGATTTTGTAAGCACAGAAAGGGGCTGGGAGGTATTTTACACCTCTGGGGGCACAGATCCTAGGTGGCCAGGGAGTGCGAGCCGACCACTCTTTTCTCCTAAGAACCTTTTGCTGATTCACCCCATCACCTGCCACGCCAAACTACACACATGGGAGGTTGTTTTTCTTACCTCCACCTGCTCATTTAGGAACACGTATGCTGTGTACAAAAAGAATTTCTATATGTCATGACTTGAATTTTTTGCTCCAAAAGACAATACTGTCAATTTTATGCATGTAATAAATGTTCAGTGTATGAAGCTCAACTGTAGAGCGCATCAAATAGGTAATCATCTCAATTTTATTTACTAAAAGTTAGCATGAATTTGGCTCATTTATTCACTTTAGATGTGTAACAAATCATGGTGATGTGACTTTTTAAAAGTTTAAATAGAATTGTACAGCTTTCAAAGAAAAAAACACACTACATTATAGACATCTTTCTAGGACAGGATAGGCCTGTATCGAATGTTCTGACAGTTGAATGTTGCATGCTTTGTCCCATAATCTATTTAACCAGTCTGTGTGCTTGTTTCGTTATCACAACAGTGGAAAAGAGTCAGTGTAACCTTTATTTGCAGGTTGGCCAGGATTATTTCCTGTTCTTGGAAGGGAAATGCCTGGCTTAAGGATGTTTGTTTAGTAGGGTGAGGCAGAGGATGACCACTAGTGTACCAGTTCACACGTGCACAGGTGTTTACACATGTCTGTGATCTGTGGAGTGGCTGCAGATAGTGTCTCCAAGTAGTGCATTTAGTCCAAGAAAGGTTCAATCCAAGACAGGGACTTCGGCGGCGGTCCCAGGCCGGCTACATTCAAGGCAGGGAAGTCAGCTCAGAAGATGACGACACCTGTCACACCTTTTCATCCCACAGGGGTCATCTTGATAGGGTTTTTTTTTTCAAAGAACACAGGCCAATCACCAGGGGCTTATTGGGAAAGGGGTTTAAGGACACGAGGACATTGAACACTGCACTGGTGATCAAAAGGCCGGGAAAGTTAGGCCAAGGAATTTTTCTCCATCAAAACACAGCTGCTTATTTTCAAGGGTAGCCAGGTCTGTCCAATAAAAATGTTGTTGGGAACCTTGACCCCTCATGTACCCTACAGCCGTGATCTTGCCCCCTTCGGACGTCTTTTTACTCCATGAACCCAAAGATCATTTCAATTGGAGGATGATTTGAATCTCGATGTGATGCCAAAATTACTGCTTTGAACTGGCGTAAACTGAAGGGTGCAGAATCCTTTGAGGAAGGGGTTAAATACCCTCCCACCCACACACCACCACCACCACCCGCCCACCCCTCTGGGGACATGGAAGCACCACCTTCACAAGTGGATAGACCTAGATGGAGGATATGTCCAGGATAAGGCTTCACACTTAGACTGGTTTTTGTTGCGTAAACCAGGAGAACCAAACCCACTCCCACTGAGTCAGTCCCGATGCATAGGCATGTAGAGATGTCTTGCTCACATTTATGTTAATCCCGTCCTCTTCGTTCCTCCAGCGAAGACACAAAACCAACATTGACCCCCCTGAAATTTCCCTTGGGAATTTTTATTGGAAGTATGTTTGTATTGAGTCTCTTTCCGTAATAAGGGCTCTGAGAATTCTTGGAAGTGTGTGAATTAAAAGCCCAGATACTTAAAAGAAGGCCGACCTCCTCTACTCCACTCCCAGTCAGCGGGGTCACCGCAGCAGGGGGGGCTCCTTTCCACGCTCGGACAAACTCGGAATGCCCACGAGGCCCTGCTAGCCTTGTCGTCCTCCCACGAAGCAGTTACAGCTCCCCTTCTTGGACAGATGTGAATTCTGCATAGGCTTTTTGAATAGTGGCATACCATGTGAGGTCTGAAAGATGAATTGACCCTTCTTCCGTCTTTGCTGAAAAAACCTTTTTAAAAAGTGGAAGCCTTGGAAGGCACCCTGGCGGCCTTGTGGATTTCTCTCTGAGTGCTAACCTCAAGTCTGCAGCTTAAAACCAGCTGCTCCACAGGAGGAAGAGGCTTTCTACTCTGGTCAAGATTCACAGCCTGGGAAACTCACTGGGGCACTTACTGTGTCAGTAGGGTCGCTATGAGTCAGGACTGACCCCAGGGCAGTGAGAGAAGTACTGGAGCCCTCTGAACACACATGTATAACACAGACTGAGTATGACATCTGCAGTATTTAATTTGCTTACACGTTTGTTTGCAGGAGGCCATGGCTATGAACAAGTTTAATGTTCTCCACTGGCACGTGGTTGACGACCAGTCTTTCCCTTTCCAAAGCATCACGTTTCCGGAGCTAAGCAAAAAAGTGAGTCGTGCATGTTATTGTTGTCTCTGTCTACCAGAAACTGGGTGTCATCGCATGGGAAGTGAGTAGCTCAGCTGCTGCAGCTTCTGAGTAGAATTGAAGCATAACAATTAATCATGGCTTTCTGAGGCTCATGCCTTAGCATTTGGGACCCATAACTCTTGTTTTTGCATTTGGTATGTGCTTTCAAGTCATGTCTAGGGAGAGTACAAATATCATTTTCAAAAACATACGTATGTGTGAGACCCGAGGCTTGCGTGAGTAATCTGAGATCGATCCTGTATTTATCAAGTGGTCCAGCTAAATATGAGCTTTCAGTAGAACGGGTTTGAAGTCCATAGGTGACCATTTCCTCTCCTCTCCTCCCCCTGCTGGTCTCGATGGGCCACGGTGCATGTGGTGAGTGCTGACCTCTGGACAAGTGGTGCCTTAGCGGCAGAGCCCGAGTGCTAGCGGCGCTCTCCAACCGCGGGTCCGAAACATTCCCCAGCTCATCTGTGTTTGTATTTATTACGCAAACTCATACTGATCAGTATCAACCAGCACGTGCCCAATACTGTATCACCTATACGCTCACCGACTCGTTATTCTGAAGCAAACCCCAGGCCCATCTTCTCCTGTAAAAAGGGTTGTTTTTCGGTTTTTAAAACAAAAAACAGAAAAAACATACTACCATCTCACCTCAAATCACTGCCATTCTGTCAAGTCCAATTCAGAGTGACCCTATAGGATGGAACAGAACTGCCCCTGGGGATCTGAGACTGCAGTGCTCTCATGGAGGAGAACGCCCCATCTTTCTCCAGTGGAGCCCAGGTGGTTTCGAACTGCTGACGTTGAAGTCAGCAGCCCAACCGGTAACCTGCTAGAACACCTGGGGTCCTCATAAAATCACACAGAAAAGTTATTTATTCCTTAATATCATCAAGCAGCCAATCAGCATTCACACTCCTCCATTTGTCTTTTTTTTAAATTTTATTTGACGAGATGTCAGTAAGGCCCACCACACCTTATGATCAGTTGATACCTATTCATTCTCTTTTGGTTTGTACATCCTCCGTGTCTGGGCCAAAATTAAATCCCCCTCCCTGCAATTTGTTGTTATTGGAGGACCTGTCACTTGTCCTATAGGCAGGGTTTGGCTGCCCGCATCCCACGTGTGCTTCTGTCTGCTGCATTGTTTCCCATAAGTTAGGAGGTAGAGCTAGTCCTCACCAAGACACAGCTTTAACTCAGGGGCAGGCGGAACACAAGAGCCTTTTTCCAGGAGTTGAATACTCCTGTGGGAAATGTGTCACCGTAACTCCATTAGTGGACCTGTGTCTTCAGCTACAACCAGTATCAAGTTCTGTACTGCTTTTAAAAAAGGGGAGGAGGCAATCTTTTTTTTAATGAGTACAGTTATTACAGGGCCCGAGGAGTTTTTAGTTTTTAAAGCTCGGTAGCACCGTGACTTTGAAAGCTGACCTCGATGCTTAGTAATGGAATGTGCACTTGGATTCTACACCATCGTTTTCATAGGTTTTGCTTTAGCGACAAACATTTTATTTCCAGTTTATTGTACAATAAAGCGAGGTAGCATCATGATAGGCATTTTTAAATAGGCATCTGAGATGAACCACAGAGTGGTGAACGCTTACTGATACAAGATGGTCAAGAGCCATTCGACCAAGTCCAGACTGGCATGTTCTCTTTCGGGTGTGTCTGACGCAGCACACATCTGCTCTCTGTTCAACAGCCTCCCTTCCCCAGCGGCGGCTCGCTGTGGTTTTCCACTGAGCCACCCCGTGTCAGTGTCACGGTGTCAGGACTGTTTAAAGCCCTGCTTACCGGGCACCCATTCTCAGATGGTACATACAGAATTGTTGGCATTTTCCAGGACAAAGCCCAGCGTGCAGCTTTTAGCCTGACTACGTGTGGTTTTTACAGGGAAGTTATTCTTTGTCGCATGTTTACACACCAAATGACGTCCGCAAGGTGCTTGAACATGCTCGGTTACGAGGAATTCGGGTTGTTCCGGAGTTTGACAGCCCCGGACATACGAGGTCCTGGGGAAGAGGTATGGATTGTGTTTCTTAAGTTCCATCAAGTGAACATTTGAGGCCCCACGTCTCCTATGACGACTTGGCATTTGCTCAATTTGCTCGCAGATGTCATTTGCACAAAGGGAGCACTATTGGCAAGTATAATTCACTAAGTGTACGTATCTACCAGGAACCAGGTGCTGCCCTAAGTACTACATAAAAATAGTGAAGTAGAGGGTCTGGGAGGAATGGTGAGGATCAGAATGGGGAAAGGAAGATGGGCTGCTGACTGCAGCGTCAGCAGCCCAAGCGGTAACCCAGTAGAACACCCGGGGCCCTCATGAAATCAGGGAGGAGGCATGTCGGAGGCGGCCTCCTGGGAACCACCCTTGGGCAGATGTGGAGGTGGACTTCCCTTCTCCACACTGCAGCAGAGGAGGTCAAACATGGCCCCCCGACTTTCCCTCCCCTAGGAAGCATGCTTATCTTTCTGTGTAAAATGTTTATACCGGCCATAAAATGTAGTTAGTATGATCCTGTGCAAAATGGCGTCTTTGTGATTTAAAAGCTTCCTCAAAATTCTCCTGTTTTCCCAGGTCAGAAAGACCTTCTTACACCATGTTACAGAGGGGAACAGCTGTCTGGGACTTTTGGACCTATAAACCCTATTGTGAATACAACTTACAACTTTCTGTATAGACTCTTCAAGGAAATCAGTGAAGTGTTTCCAGACCAATTCATTCATTTAGGAGGAGATGAAGTGGATTTCACCTGCTGGTATAATTCTTGTCAACTCCCATTCTGGGTTGTTGTTGTTGAAACTGCCCATTTGAAGCAGCGAGGGCTATTGCCACATACAAATAAAGGAGTTGAAGCAACACCTCTATTTGTTTGGATTTGAACTTGGCAACACAACTCCTCAGAGGGTAGATTGTGCTGGAATGTACATGTTGCTGGTATACCAAGTAAAAGCTTAAGGACAAAGAACCAAGATGCAAACGGAAATGGCGATTTAAGAAAAAATAAAATAAGAAAAGGGATTAGTGAAAGAGTAAAGCTTTAGTGAAAATGGAGCAATGCTTTTAAGAGATAATTTTTCAAACAAAAATCCCTTTTGCAAGTAACCTAAGACGAAGGAATGAGGTAGGGAGCAAAACACCATTTTTATGGGAAATCACTCCTGGTGGGGGAGGGGGGGATAATTGCAATGGAAAACTAACAATAAAACCGTTTGCAGGTTTAGGCCACTTCCTACAAACCTTAGCAGTTTTCAATCTGAACAGCTGAGGTTGGAGTGTTGAGAGTTGTGTTGCTTTAAATTATAAATTGAGCATATAGAAGAGTAACATTTTACTGTTTCTGTTTAAGGATGTCAAATCCAGATATCAAGGATTTCATGAAGCAAAAAGGCTTTGGCCAAGATTATAAAAAACTAGAATCTTTCTACGTTCAGCAGTAAGTTTCTAACCTTTTGGCTATTATTGAATACTTTTCCATTTCTCCCTTGCTAAAGCAGAGATGCTATAAAAGTCCCTAAGGAGAGGGACACAACGCTGTATCCACTACTTCCTTTAGCCATTAGCACGGTGGTTCTAAGTCTTCAACAGTCACTGCTGGCATGTAGGAGCCCCATCATCCTGGCGGCCCTGTGCCGTCGCCACCACCACATAACTCCTGGTGTCTGCTCCCTGTGTCCACCTCAGGAGCAGTTGTACCTGACACGGAGGCCATGGCCACTCTCTGGCTGTTTACACTAAACAGACTAAGGTTTAAAAATTGTGTTCTGCAGTTTCAGTTGCTCAGTCAACTGATGTGGCTAGTGGCCACCATAGTGGACAGTGCCACTCCCTTCCATGGTCAGCAAACCTTTTCTCTAAAGAGTCCCATGCAGGTGCATATTCTTCTCTAAATAATTGTTTTAAAAAACCCTTCTGAGCACACGGGCCATACAAACATAGGCCATGAGCTAGGGTTGGTCAACTACCCACTCTGTATCATGCACGGTGAGTCCTGAGTCTAGCCTTTTCCTACTTAGCTTTCTTTTGTCTACTGCATTCTTGTTCTTTTAAAAAAATCTTACTGAGCATCTGCCTTTTATGAAGGCCTACAAATGTCGGTGGATTGACTGCAACGATAGAATGTTCGAAGGTAACCTGACAGGCTAGATTATGGTTTCCGTGATTCTGAGGTCTCCCTGGAGTTCCTAGAGCTGGCTGTCTGTATGCCACCCTAGGATTTACTGACACTCAGAGGCCATTCCTTCCTGTCTTAGGGGCACGCTCAGCTTACGCATCCAGAAAATGACCATCAAATCCCTATATTGGGTTAGGTTCCAAGCAGATGTTAAAATGAAGGAACTACTGGGTCACTTGATTTTCATTGCTATAAAGCTTTACTGAAAGACCCCTCTCCGCATTACAAGTTACCCTGGGTAGGGTATGTGGGTACTTTATATTGCTAAGCTTGTAATCTGAAATACTTTATGCATGTTTTCATTACTAGGGTTGTGAACATGATTGCAAACATAAAAAAGAGATCCATTGTCTGGCAAGAAGTTTTTGATGATAATGTGAAGGTGAGACACATGAGGGCTATGTCTGATTCTATAATACAAGTGTCTTAATATTCTCACACCTGGAGTGGGAGAAGCCCACATCAATCTGCCCCCAACGTTATGTCAATGAACCTGCTCTTCAGGCGGCAGCAACTTATAGTCTCGTGTTTTTAGAACACTCAACAGTGTTTCCTAAAGTAGTGACCCCACCCCTCGGGAGGTTTTGGAACCATCGGGTGGGGTGGAGGGATATAAAAGTAGATACCTACATGCTATCCTGGTTTAAGAGCTACAGCACAAAACATTTTTAATGCTATGGGGAACGCTGAGTAGTTTTTTTCCTGAAAAGGGTTGGCAGGCCAAGAAGGCGTGGGAACCTGTGCTCCAGGGGAAGCGATAAGGGAACCTGCTCCTTTTCTTGTATGCGCTTTACTGCTCAATGTCTCTTCCTTTCCCCCTCGCTTATTAGTAAGCACAGCTGAGACACTGGGGTTAACTATAAAGATCAACGGCAGTTCATTGCACCTACTCAGTACCACATGCCAACCCACGTCGAATCCCCGACCTTAAGGTGGATGAAGCTTTAATTTTCAATCCCCAGTGCTAGCTCTGAGAGACCCACAGGAAAATGTCATATTGTTTCCTAGCTCTGATGCCTTGGACTTTCAGTGTCAGCGACTGTATCTACTAAATCTACTAATGTGTATTGTAATTTGCAACTTGTATAGCTTAAGCCAGGCACAGTTGTGGAAGTGTGGAAATCAGAAAACTTTCCTGAGGAACTCGGGCGAGTCACAGCAGCTGGGTTCCCCACACTCCTTGCTGCTCCTTGGTACTTAGATTGGATTTCTTATGGACAAGACTGGACAAAGTACTATGAAGCAGAACCTTTTGACTTTCATGGTAAGGAGAAGCAACCACCATGACCTTGGCTTGTTTATGTTCTTCCGTGCCCTCCCACTAGGGAGATCCTTCATCAGATAGTACTTTCAGTTACTACCCTTTTATGCTTGATTCTTGATTTTGAGATGCTTTGGGTATGTGTGTGCCTATTTTTTTTTAAAAAAAGCTTAGCATCAGAAAAGCGTTAGAGGTCAGAGTCATCTTGCTGCTCACATTTTGAAGGGGTTTTATTACTCTTGTTATTTCCTCATCTGAACGAAAGGCAGTCTAGTCCCCTGGCCTTGGTCCTTGGGGAGAAAGTGTGTGAGTGACAGATGTTGGGCCCTCACACCCCTGCATTAAGCAGTTACTTCGTCTTCTGCAGAAAGGCCAGGTGAAAATGGCAGGCCTATCCAAAACAGAAAGGAATGGTTCCTCTAGAGCAGGGGTGTCAAACTGGCGCACGGGCCACCAGTTTGCTCTAGAGCAGCGGGTCTCAACCTGCCTAATGACGTGAGCCTTTAAGACAGTTCCTCATGTTGTGGTGACCCTCCAACCATCCAATTTTTTGTGTTGCTACTTCGTAACTGTAATTTTGCTACTGTTATGAATCGGGTGACCCCTGTGAACAGGTTGTTCGACCTCCAAAGGGGTCGCGACCCACAGGGTGCGAACCGCTGCTCTAGAGTCTACTTTCTGAAGATCAAAATGGTCATTACTATAAAAAAGAGTATTAGGTAATCAGTCTTTTAAGTATTAATTGAAATTGAAAGCAGGACTAGTGGTCAGAGCCCATTGTTAACGACACTAGTGCTCCCACTTACATTCCCTAGTGCACCTTTAAGCAAGTACATTGGGGAGTGGGGGGCATGTTCTTGCAGTGCTGAGAGGGAGGTGTTGGACTGCTGAAACACACAGTCAGTGCCTCAAATCCACCAGCCACTCCTGGGAGAAAGAGGAGACTTCATGGCCCTGTAAAGATTTATAACCTCAGAAACCCTATTTAGGGTCACTATGAGTCAAACTATCCACTGGGTGGCAGTGAAGAAAACCACTCAGCACACATGAATTTTCCATCGCGCTGTCCTTGTAAGCTGTCTTCAACATCACAGCAGTTTGTGGCATTTTTCTCAAGCAGGGAGCAAAATATCACAGCCTCACACTGGTCTCTAACACCGGCATCCCAAAAAATGAGGTCCTAGTGAAACTGCTTTCGTGAAAAAATGCACTCTGACCAGAGAGCACCTTCCCAGGCGATGCCACTGGGTGCACTAACTTAGAGCGAGTTGCTTGATGCTCACCTAGCGGGGAAAATTTGTACTAAGAACACTCCACAGTGGAGCTTTTTATCCATTTGGCAGGGGGGTACCCACTCGTATGTATTTTAAAAGCTACTCTGAAAAATGCATATACGTTTTCAAACTATTATCTGTGTGGCAGTGGGTTTGGTTTTGGTGAGTGAGTTGGTGGCAGTATTTCTGGTGTCTAAATAATTTTGTATTGAACCAAATAAAATGCTATCGTTGACGCCAGCTTGGCACATTTAGTTTTCATATGCCATAAACTCTGCGAATTACAGGCCAGGGCTGAGGAGAGAGCTTGACTCTTGTACCAGCCTTAAACTTCAACTGTTTACATCAAGTGAATGGCTTCCATGCAGGTACTCCAGAACAGCAAAAACGCATTATTGGTGGAGAAGCTTGCCTGTGGGGAGAATATGTGGATACAACTAACCTCACTCCAAGATTATGGTATGCAACTTAGTAACATTTGAGTTAAGAAATAACTTTAATTTTCCTTCTCCATCCCAGAATTTCTCCAAGTCTATGATTTGGATCCTTGATGAAGGAAAAACATTGTTTTAACGTGCTTTGGGGTCTGTGTGGCTTAAATTGTAGGCCTCGGGCAAGTGCTGTTGGCGAGAGACTCTGGAGTAACAGAAATGTGAGAAATGTAGGTGATGCTTACAAGAGGTTAACAGTGCACCGCTGCCGAATGGTCAGGTAAGACAGTTCTTTCCCAAGCCACTGTTCACTTCCCTGTGGTTTCTGTCACTCGGGGCTAATGGTTGCTTGTTTTGCTGGAAGAGAAATGCATGTCTCCGTAGAAGTTGTGATTTAATGAGGAATTGGGAACTAGGCTTACCATGCTCTGTAGGTAAAGAGAGTAGCAACTTTACGGAGACATATTTGGGCACACCACTGTGTTGCAGACATATTAAATTCTGCTGTAACTTTTGAGTGCCATCTCCAATCATGTAACATATTGGACCCATCTGAAGTGACTTCCTCCTCCCTCAATAAGCTTGCCAATTTCATGATTCTGGTGGAAGCTACCAAGTTCTTTCAGATGGTCGATGAATTCAATCAGCTAAACATCTTTTCATCGTCCTTCATCTGTCCTCCAGGCGTGGAATAGCTGCAGAGCCTCTTTTTACTGGATTCTGTGGTCCCATGGAGACTATTTAAAAGGAGCTTACGCCAAGAAGAAAAATGGAGCGTTCTGAGAAACACCATAGCAATCAGTGCTACAATCAGCTTGATTTTAAAACCATGTAAACGAAGATTTGCTTGACTGTTTTAGGAATAAAATATATCTTTTAATTAATCGAACCTTTAGCTTATTTCACATTAAACCCTCAAAGTAAACCTACTGCCATCCAGTTGATTCTGATGGAGACCATCCTACGGAGGGTTTCCGAGACTCAGTCTTTCTCAGGGAGCAGCTAGTGGGCTGGAGCCACCCACACTGCAGGTAGCAGCCAATGCCCAACCTACCGCGCCACCAGCAGGCCAGACATAAGGGATAGAAAGGTGGAATCTTCCTTGCAAGAAGCTTAAAACACAAACACATTGTGCTACCATTCACTGTCTTCAAAGGGCTATGTTTGTATTACTGATTAATTTACAGTAAAACGTTAACAGTGCATGACATTTCAAAGCAGAGTTCACAACGCATGCATTAGAATGGGCAGCTCCACGGCCACTGCCAGTCAGTCAGTCCTCAGGGTGCATCTTTCACCCAGTTCTCTGTAGGGTCGGGCAATGTACTTACCCAACAAATGAAGCGATAAAAATTGTTCTTACTGAAAATGAAGTAGGTAGAAGCTCCTGAGTCTCTTTCAGGTCCCTTAAAACCCTTAGGCCAAGCCACTTCTCCGGTTCAGCAGTGCCTGCTGGTCCTGAGGGTTCATGGGTTGATAATTAGACAGTTCTAAGGCAAAAGTAGCCGAGCCTGACGTTAGCGTTCGAAGCACAGTTGAATAGCCCTGATGAACAGAAATAATGTCAGCTGATTAGTTCATCAAATTTCCGCTCCCAGTTCCTCATGCTGCATTATCAGGGAAAGGTGACGTTACTTATATGGCTTAGCTCATTTCTTTCAAGCCATTGAGTCATTTCCCCCTGGAAGTATACATATTGTGGAGGACAGAAAACATCGAGTAGCATAGGTGTTCTTTGTTGCATTACAGTCCTGGCATGTAGCAGGATGACCCTGTCCTGAAGGCTCTGGTTCTCGGCTGCCTGCCCCAAAGTCGGCGTCGGCAAGGCTGATGGAGAGTAACATGCACCTTCAAATGGCAGTCTTGGGGGGGGGGGGGGCAATGTTTAGAAGGGAGAAATGGGCATTTCCGCTGATGCCACACTGGTACAGCATAGCTCAACATTGCTGGCCCTAGGCTTGGAAACCACCCCGATGGGCTGTAATCCACAGGACTGTCCCAATTCCACCCCTAACAGGTAAAGCGTAAGCCGTTAGCCGTTCAATCTGACGGCTGAAACTTGCCGGGCACTCTACATCACAGGCCGAGGCTCATTCTTTCCAGGCCAGACGGGTGGGCTCTTTCGACTCAGCCTGTATCCCTCCTGCATCGAGAACCTGCACTTGTCAGTCACCAAGTACCTACCATCATTTCTGCCAGGGGAACAAATCCAATAACCACTTTGTTGTCGTGGCGAGCCTGGATTTCCTGAACGTTCCCTCTTCTTTGCGCCAGGTCTGCCAGCACAAGGCTGAGGCGGTCTTCTGTCACGGCCACCTCGAGACTCATCAGAGGCTCTAGCACTTGCTTCTCTGCTTTCTTCAGTGCCTACAGACAGGACAGAGAATGCTAACCCCACCTGCTGAAATTGGAAATCTAATTTCTCTTTGGGGGGAAAAAAAGGGTGGAGGTGCGGTGGGCAGGGGCTGAGATTCATACACACTTTCAAATACTGCCTAGACTCGAGTGTAGGGCTCTAAGCAAACTAGACAAAAGTGTACTTGAATGTTACGAACACAACTTTATCAGCACCAACGAGAATGTCAAATCGCACAAACGTCAGCATTTGCTCGTGTGACACAGCACGTCGGAGGGCTCGGCAGGGCAGGCTGCAAAGGGTAAAGCTGGATTACAGAACACTGAACACGGCCCAGAGAACCAGAAAACGGTTTTCCCTTTCACGTCGACTCATTTCCTCAGTATTTCGACCTCTCGTTTCTTTTCCTGCCACATGTCATGGGAGAGAGGGTTGAAGGGTCAGGCTTTTAAAAAACAATAATGAGCACACTTGATAGTAGAAATACTTTATTTAAAATAAACCCTCTTGCCAAACGATTGACTGAGATTGTAGCTTTCAAATGCTAAGTCCATGCACACAGAGAAACTCAAAGAAGAGAGTTAGCACGGCCTCGGGCAGGGGAGGGGACGAACACCGGGAAGTAATGCCACATGAACATTTCTATTGAAGGCACCAGTCAGACACACTTCTTTAATAGTATAAGTGTATCAGGTCAGGTCATTTTTGGATTAATACGAGCAGGTTTGATTTTAAAATCGACCCGGCTTCTTCGGTCTGCTGGAGTTCAAAGGCAGTACAATATTTTCCTATGATTCTAACCCACGGTTTGGCAGTCAATCAGGTGGGATGTAGCCAACATCAGACTGGGCAACGAGAGCCAGGGCGAGAGAGCAGGCTCTCTGATGTGCCCTCTGCCCTCCCTGCATGGAGTGGACCTGCTCTTTGTGTACCGCCTCAGAACTTCCAAGGCCTTAAACCAAACCAAACCAAACCGGTTGCTGGGGCGACCCAGGTGTGTCAGAATAGCATGGTGCTCCACAGGGTTTTCAATGGCTGTTGCTCGGAAGCAGGTCCCCAGGCCTTTCTTCCGAGTGTCTGTGGGTGGCTCAGAGCCTCCCTTAGCAGTGAGCACATGGATCCACTAAGGCCTTAGGAAAGGGCAATGTCATCGTCTACATTAAGCCAAGTAACCATTCTGGGATTCCAACCCTTCTGTCACGAATGACTGTAGGCCAAATCTCACATCTTTTACAACAAAATGCTGGAGTGGGGAAAGGCAAACCGAAAAGGAAGTCCTGTTACGACTAAGAAACAGACCGGATGCTGTGTCCAACCCAGGGCATGCTGAGGGCAAGGGGCTGCCCTTTGCCCTCTTTCCTTAACTCTTCACAATCTTCCCCTTGGCAACATTATCTAGGGCAGAGTTTCAAACTCTTCTGAGTGAGTCATTGAAAGTGTCACATTCTGTCTGGCCCACAGCCTGTGCTCCAGCCCGGTACTTCGCTGGCCTGCTCTGGGGCAGTATCTGAGTATCCTAAAGCTTTCCAATACGCACTAAGCCGAGCTCATCATTTCCTTTTCCAAACCCTTGGCTCTGCCCTTCCCCCATTCCTGCCGATGGAGCCACCAGTCCTCGGTTCTTGAACTGTTCTAGTCCCCAGTCAGCTGAAGATTTCCATTCCTGTTGCTGGTACCTGGTTTAGACCTAGTTTATTTCCTGGCCTGCATTGTCTCTTCCCTATTCCAAGCCTGCATGCTAATGATTAGACTTCCCTTTCCAAAATTGTGACTCACCCCCATTCTCAGATCACAGTTCAAACTTCTTCATGTAATCTTTAAGGATCTTTTTTAAAAAAATCCGACTGTTTAGTGCTTTCACCTCCACCTGATGCTCTACCTGAACCTCCTTTCATCTCCCCCACTGGACTGTGAGCCCA